ACGTGTTTTTGGCACTTTGAGGTTAGGATATCTCAAAATCCTGACGAGCCAAATTTGGATTCAGAACCAAAAAAACTATACGAAACGATATGTTTCACTCAGGTGGTAAAATTTTACTGCACTGTGTTATATATCCGCACAAGTATAAAAATTAATTTAAATTAATTGCGACAAAATCAATTTTTTTCGCGTAGCATCTACTTTACGCTCATCCCATGACTGCAAATATGCATTCTTATCAAAAATTCCTTTTGGTTTGGATTTGTTGGACATTTTACTATGAATATACCTAATTGCTTTTTCAGAATTCGCTAATCCGTTTTTACTACTTTTTGCCTCTGTAGTGCCATTGTGCGCCAGCATCATTTAGCTTATTTCCACATTTTTGTTGCCCTCGATATTTTAAATTTTTTATATTTGTAAGTTATTGGAAGATTTTTGCTGTGTTGACAACAACATGTATGCAGTAAAAAAGCATTTAATTCATGTTTCAAAAGTGTGTGAAAACAAATCAATCAACTTACATGTACCCGGTTCCGATAATAAATAATCAATAATTGGTTATACCCGCATTTTGGCACTGATTTGAATGTAACAAATAGTGCCGTACTCCTTAGCTGTGTTTCAATGATGTAAAAAAATGTTCTTTCTTATTTAAATTTAAGTACAAAGTACTCAACAATTCTACATTTTGATAAAGGTACACCTAATTGACTTTTATATGAGAATTACAAAATATGAAAAAAATTCCAGCTTACTCTTATACGGAAAAAACTGAGTTATTTCTTCTGTCTGTCAAAAAATATAAGAAGCCAAGTTGGGATTCAATTCAATCACGTTTTATCCAAGGATAGTGCCTTTTATATAGAAGAAAATGCCTAGCACCGTCAGCCAAATTATTAAAAATCAACAGGATTTCATAGCGTCTTGAAATTTTCACTTTTAAATTAAAATTAATGGGCTATAAAACTGCGCACCTAGAACAAAAAGTTCAAAATTGTTGGGTGTAATTGTTAAAGTTTGTTGAATTTTTATAATTTTTTTTACCAAGTTTGAAATGTGGATATATGTGGTTCTGGTTATGTATTGTGCTAGACTTTTATAAAAAACTAATAACATTAAATAAACACAAGAAAAAACCAAAACTGCTCAAAATGTTTATTAACTTAATCAGCAGGGTATATAAGTAATTGGCGAGTCCGCGCTTCCCCACCCCCTCCTTCCCTGCGTTCACCTCAACAAACAAGTAAAGCTTATCAGCCCTGAAAACCTACCTCTTTCACGGGTGGGACATGCTTCACTATGTGGAAACGAAAATGTAATTTTGGTAAACAGTTGCAATCAAGTTCTAACATTATGTAAAAAACCTGAAACTTAACTTCAACTTCTGTAATTAAATATAACAACTTATGGTTTTTTTGTCACGGGTGGGACAAGACCAATACTGCTTAATAATAACTCATAATATAGATAAAACGCTTACACAATTTAATATATAACACAATTTTATTAAAAGCAGATGAGTTTTACTATATATTTTTCTTACCAAATACTTGAATTATCAATCGCAAATTTCTGACAGTACTTTCAACACAACCTACTTTCAACTCATTCAAAAAATTGACTTAGAACTTGATTTCAAATCGTAAGAAAAGGTAATAAAAATGCATCTAAAGCTTTAATTTATTATTTTTTGGTTGATTCAAGATTTTAATTATCCACACGTTTGTTAGTTTTATAAAGAAAATAATTTTTGCATTGAGGCTCAGTTTACCATGGAACCTCCGAGTGTAAGAAAATTCCTTTTCTATTATTGTTTCCTTATAACTATATAAGGTTTCTTTTCTACCTTACACATTCCGAATTTGTTCAAAATATGCTAATTTAAAAACATTCATTTCAGTGTTTCTCCGGGGTTTTTGTACATGGCGGCAATCCACTGTTTCGTCAATTTAATAGTGTTCGCTTTGTTTTTGGAAACGAAGCATGTTTTGCAATTTCTTGATCATTTCTACATTCTTTCTTCAAATACTTCTCGTATTCCAGCTCTTTTTGCGTTTGGTTTTTCGCATCGTGGTTTTTTAATAAAATCAATTGGTGGTGGGGCATGATTGTGTGTTGATTAATAGCACTGAGGATTTGGCGATAACCTCTTCCATCTATGGAAACAACACTTACGGGGCAATTTTTATTGTAGCCACATTCGTATCTCACGTACGATGCAAGAGCAACATTTCTTTTTTTTTGAATCGACATACATTAAGAATTGTTGACGCTATTTCCATTTGAATGAGGTGATGCTATTTACTCGCAATAAAACCAAGTGTTTCCTGAAAGGGCCTGACAGGGTGGTAGCAAAAGAAGAAGGATCTACAAGCCCTGATAGGACTGATTACGGGGCACAACCAATGGGGACCATATATGTATAGTCACCATAGGCATCATCGACGACCCACTGTTTACATGTGTTACGTGTTTTGAGGACGAGGTTAGTACAGCACATTTTCTCTGCTGATGTCCGGCATTCACCATACTCAGACGGTACAATTTTGGGTGGGATGTATTGAGAATGGACGAGGTACATTCTCTTTCCCTCAACAAACTACTAAAATTCATAAAGGAGTTTGGTAAGTTTGCAGATGAGCAATGAATTCGCATCGCCACATACATATCCCTCTCCTCTAAATCCTAACTCTTGGCCTTAAGTACAATGGGTAATACTGCTTAAGTGCTTGGACAAATTTGTTTTTTTTCGGCCATCCACAAATCTTCTATTCCATTTCATTCCTTGGATAGTCGGCTCTTCTTGCCCAATCAGCTGGCATTGTGGAATGGTTCAACCGAACGCTGTAAGAACATTCGAAAAAAAGGCGTGGAAAAGGTTCAAAAAGATTGGGATATCAGTCAGCAGTGCATGAAACAACGGGCAGAATTCCTGATGGATGGGGTGAAATAACACAAACGGCAATAACGCAAAATTTGCTTTATTTCACTTTTAAATGGGCTGGAAATAAAACAAATTTTGCCTTATTTCCCATTGCTTATTTATGCTATTTGGGCGTGTGGGAATCGGTCGACATAGCGCTTTTGTATGAATTTTGTCTGAATGCTTTCTAATATGTTGAAAAATTGCTAGAAAACCTTAAAATGTGTGCACGAAACGCAGCATATAACACAGATAATATTCTTTTTTTATCTTCAGTTAAAATTTCTGCCTTATCATCACTTGCTTGCTTCACTATTTCCGAACTGCGGATTTCGTTTACGAAGACAAAGCGAACATGTGGTACGAAATTGTTATGTAAAAATATATAAAATTTTACCTACTCTCAGACTTCTAAATTTGAACGTATATTAGGACCAAGCAGGTGGGATGAATGGCGCAATAAAAATGAAGTAATAAAACAGCTTTCCCGCTTTATTTTCGAACATTCGGCTGCCTTATAGTCAGGTTTTATAGGCAAATTTTCATAGAAGGTAGTATCAAAATCTTTCTTCTCATTCTAAAATTACTTCACCATGGGTGGTGCATGCAATAACACCATACGCAATAATTCCCATTATTTAGACATAAAAAAGCAGCTTCAGAAGTGAAGTAGTGTCATTTTATTATTATTCTTTTTTTTCTAAACGGTTATAGTGCCACCAGTGCATAATTGCGAAAGGAGGGGAGGGGGCCGGGGGACGCGAGCGCGACGTCGAACGCGGTGCGGCGCGAACGCAGACCGCCGCGACGCTGGGCACTTTCAAAATTGTATACTTACAAATCCGTCCATTTAAATTGTTCATGTACTACTTTTTGTCAGATGTAACTGGGTGACTACCTATGTACACTATTTTGCTTTATTACTCAATTGTTAAATACCTAAAACGTATGAAGCACAAAAACGATTGTAATAAGGATAACTGTCTGCGGATGGACAAAAATGGTATAAAAGGGGCAGCATTGTGCATTAGCTAGGCATACGTGGCACGCGTCGCAACGTGGGTCACACGGATAGTTAAAGAGGGAACTTACCTCCGAGACTATTACTCTATATTCGAAGTGGGCTTAAACCACAGAGACTGGTGCTAGCTGTAGGGTTTTTAACCTACTCTAGTTCTACGCTTTAGAGAGTAGATATAGCGAGAATATAGTAAATAAAGAGGCTGTAAACTAGAAGCGAGTGGGTTCTATATTTTTTTGCAGATTGCACTTAGGAGAGTCCGTTACAACAGACAAACGCCAATTTAAGCGCATGAATAAAAATTAATTTCCTAGTGATTCCGTAGAAAACGTATCTTTCCAAGATTCGCATGACGGAGAGTTCTTTAAGGGGAGTTGATTTACATTTTCGAGACAACTGATGAAAAATGCTGTTAGTGTTGTTTTGATGGCTCACCGTAATAACTAAAATAAAATAAATAAATTAAAAAATTGGTTTCGAATGCTTCCTAATTCCTATTCCCAATATGCAAAGGAAATTCTAGGGGAACGTAGAATTCTTTTTGTAGGTTAAGCAATACATATCGCTCGTTTGATTGAAAAACGTCATAAGTGAAAAGGAAATTGTGTCAAGGACGTTGGTGCCCCTTTTATTTTCTGTAAAAAATTTAAAATGTTAAATCATTACGAAATTTGTCTTTCTTGTCATTTCCATAAAATTAACCAAAGAATGGTTTGAAACAGATTTTTCCTCTACACTAAACTAATATCCTTGATATTTTTTTAGTTATTATTTATTTTTGTTGTTGTTGTTTGCGGAAAACCTTATTAAGATCTTTTCCTTGCATTTCTTAGTATTTGGGATTGCGATCTTCAAGAAAACGTGTGATTTAACGGAATGTCCATCAATCGAGAATTTTAAAAATTTTAAACCTCTTTGCTTAAAGAACGATTTCCAAAAGAAACGTATAAATAAATAACTTATACATTTTAGTGTCTTATATACTTACCCTTTTTGGGTAAGGGAGGTAATGCTCTTGATTGAAATTTCTTATGCTTCTCTACAGTGTGTCGACGATCCCGACTGACAGTCATGGGTTCCGTACTCGACGGGTTTGTTTGGAATGGCCGTTGAGTTCGGCGAATACGAAATATATTACAAAACTTTTTCTTCAAATTAAGAGAAAACTGTGTTTTTTTTTTCAGTTCGTATAACTTGGAAGGATGAATCTACTTCATCGACCTTTATTAGCCGGTTTTGGGTAATGTTATAGTTATCAGAAAAGACGATTTTATTTATGTTGTTGTTGTTAATTGTGTCATTATTTTCATTACAGTTTTTAAAAGTCCTGGCGCTTAACTTGAATTCACTGTCTTTAATAGAACAAAGATTATTTTGTAACCTTGGAGACGATTCACTCCATATTGTTTCATTAGAACGTTTTACTATATCAGTTTTTACCGACTCATTATTTTTATCTGTTGAGTTATTTGTACTAGAGTAAAGCGTGTGGTAATATTTTTTCACTTCATTCAACGTCATCTGGAGTCGTTCTTGTGGTTCGCCCAATTCTAAGAACGTATGACCATCATTATGTATACCATAATCCTCCGTCGAATCTAAATTAGCCGACTTTTTATTCGTAGATGTAAATGCGTTTGTCATGTCGCTTTCATAATAATCGCTGTTACGTTTTTTTCGTTTGTTTTTATTATTCTTGCGACTTAATTTTGAATGTTTACAGTACCCTTCCTCAGTTAAAATTAAATTATTCAGTTTTTTATATTCTTTAATTGTATCTTCTTTGTTTTGCACTCCGCTATATTTATCTGTTTTTACCATATCTATTGGTAGAGCATATATATCGGAATCTATAGGCACGTTGTAAAAATCAGATATTTCCCTTGTTAGTAACGCATCATGCGACATTGCCTGAGTAATGAATATGGAATCGTCAGGTTTATTTGCAGATGATGTGCGTAATGAGTTATGTGAACTAGAGAGTCTGCTGTTAAGAGAGTTCCTAGAATTTGGTCTATTTGCAGACCCATTTGTTCCTGAAAGTTTCGAAATAAAAAGTACTATTAATTGATATACTCATAATAATTTTGACAGTTAATATTAAAAGATATAGTTTATTAAATACCAGGGGCCCAAAATAACTGATATTATGTACTTAAAAAATTAAAATGAAAAGCCTTAAAATGATCATAAAATAAAATGGTGGACAGCCCGGTCATCCGCATGGCATGGTTTATAAAGATCAAGGATGCTTTTTATTTTTGTGTTTTTTTATTAATTCGGTTTTACTATTAACTTCTCACTTTTATTTTTTCAGTCAGACGATAATAGTTAAAGCAAGCCAAATAATTTGTTTGTAAAAAAGGGGCCTTGCCATAGTAACGAACAAACCGTTAATCCTATATAAGAATTAATGGATTGGAATTATGTTGGAGAATTTAAAAATATATACAGCCTTATCATAAATTTTCATTCCGTATGAACTCGCTCAAGTTTCGCCCATACACTTCACCTATTTATTTATGTTAAACTAGCAAATACCCGGCGTGCTTCACTGCGCCTTAAATAATTTTTGTGCTGTTTGATATCCATTTTTTTTTTTTTTTGTTATTTATGGCCTTATAACAATTATATTCAACAATTTTATTGACCGTGAGGCCGTTTTTTAATGAAAACTATTGTGGAAAATTAACAATAATATTTAAAAATAATATAATAAATAATAAATAAGATTTAAATATTTATGACCTTATAACAATTATATTCAACAATATTATTGAGCTTGAGGCCGTTTTTTAATGAAAACTGTTGTGGAAAATTAACAATAATTTATAGATGGTAGAAGTGATAGCTTTTCTGAGATCACCACATCTCCTCATCAGACTTCTTCAGCGGAATTCGAACCGACGACCCCAGATGACTCAGATGAGTAGATGTGGTGATCTCCTAAATAGCTATCAAGGCCTCAAGCTCAATAAAAATTTTGAATATAATTGTTATAAGGCCATAAATAACAAAAAAAAAAAACAAATAACTTTAGGACGAGCACACCTAAAAGTTAAACATTCTAAAAATAGTGTTATTAACGAAAACCAACAACCACATGATCAAGTGTGAATTGCAGCGGGATAGCTGCGCTTGATTGTAGTTGGCTCACATGAAAAAAGTGGAAAAAGCAGCAACTGTTTATAAGACGAACTTAGCACAGTGTGTAGGCAAGCTGAGTCAGCTGGGGTCGTCGGTTCGAGTCCCGCTGAAGAAGTGTGATGAGGGGATATGGTGTTCTCCGAAATGGCTATCACTTCTACCATTTATAATTTATTGTTAATTTTCCATAATAATTTTCATTAAAAAACGGCCTCAAGCTCAATAAAATTATTGAATATAATTGTTATAAGGTCATACATAACAAAAAAACAAATAACTTAAGGACGAGCACGCCTAAAATTAAACATTCTAGAATTATTAGCGAAAACCAACAACCACATGATCAAGTGTGAATTGCAGCGGAATAACTTGCGTTGGTTCACATGAAAAAAGTGGAAAAAGCAACAACAGTTTATAAAACTAAGCACAGTGCGTAGGCAACTGACTGAATCAGCTGAGGTCGTCGTTTCGAACTCCGCTGAAGAAGTCTCATGAGGTGACGTGGTGATCTCCGAAATAGCAATTACGTCTACCATTTATAATTAACTGTTAATTTTCCACAATAATTTTCATTAAAAAACGGCTTCAAGCTCTATAAAATTGTGGAATCCATTTTTAATATTTAATTGAATACAATTTTTCAAGCAGAAGGTTACCATCCCCAAAAATATTTTCGGTAGCAAACTTTCCTAAACCTCTTTAGCTTGATACCCATATTGCAATATTATCTTATATCTTACAAGTTAAATTAAATTAAAATTTTCAAACAGGTGGCAACCTTCAACAAAAACATTTTCGGCTGTAAGCCTTCTTAAACGTCTTTCTTTTAGCAGCCATATTGAAATATTTACTTTATCAATTTACTTAAACTACAATTTTCAAACATTTAGCAACTTACTAATTTTTTCTTTCTATATTTTAAGTTAATACATCGGTGAAAACTGCATTCGAGTGATGCGCATACAAACCAAGGTTCGGAAATATTAATATATGAACGTTCGCGTACATACGTTAATGATTTTATACGCAAACGTGAACGTATCTCTACGTATTCTGCTTCGCGAACGAGAATCATAAAACAAGTCCAGATCGTTCGCGAATGTTAGGTAGACAAAATTTCCGCTGTTGTTCGTACGCATATGTATTTGTGGACCATGATTCAATAATAGAAAGGTTTGGTAATAAAACAGTCTTCTCGCTCCCACACATAAAATCGGCTGCTTTACTTGTGCAGAATGTTGCTCACTCTACAGTTTCTGGTTATATTAGTAGTAAAATTTTTCATACTAAATATTCGTTTTTTTTTTTAGTGGCTTGACTGTCAACGTGTGCGGACCTGTTTTTTAATCGCTCCGCAGAGAAATTATTAATAATTCACGTAAAGCAAAGAAAAAAAACAGAACCAACGCGAAAAGACAATACTAGGCATAAATAAGCTTTCTGCTTATTTGCCTATAATTATAAATTACTTTTTCTGAATTTTCGCAATGCCTCGAGAAATTCAAATAAATGTGCCAACGTACAATAAAATAAAAGCAGCTCTAGCTCCACACTTCAGATTCTAACTGAAGAAAATTACCGGTTGGTAACCAAACACCTTAATGACGATAAGAAAAACTTGTATAAGTACCAGCTCAAAAGCAGCAAAGGACTGCAAGTAGTAATAAAAGGTATAGAATCAAGTGTACCCATTGGTGATATTGCTCATGCTCTAGAGAAGGCAGGATTCGCTGTTAAAAATCTTGTCAATATTATCAACAGAGCAAAAAGCGTTTATGTTTAAGGTGGAACTTAAGCCAGAAACAAAGCCAATGAATAAAAACGCAGTGCACCCAATCTACAGCCTACGATACCTTCTACACCGAAGAATAACAGTGGAGGAGCCGCACAAGCCAAACGGCCCCGTACAGTGCACAAATTGTCAAGAATTTGGGCATACCAGAACATACTGTACTTTGCGTCCAGTGTGTGTTGAATGTGGCGACCTTCACGCTTCCGCTTCTTGCAAGGCTATCAAAGCTGATGTGGCTGTAAATAAATACAGTAATTGCGGAGGTAACCACACCGCCAGTTATAGGGGATGCTCTGTATACAAAGACTTAAAGCCTCGCATGGATCAGCGCAACACAGCCGTACGCTCTTCCACCACTCCAACTAGCTCTTATACATACCAACACCTCACGCCATCAACCACTACACCAGGAGCCTTTTTTGCCAATGCGCAGCGAGTTCCCAACGTTTCTTTTGCCGACGCATTAAAACTACAAACGCAGCCAAGCACGGCGAAATCAAACTCCAATCAAGAAACATTTGCAAATATTCAAAGGAATAATACTGAGCAAATGCAGCCGAACCCCCCTACTTGTGGCATAGAAGGAATGCTATTGAATCTTACCCATTATATGACTCAATTTATGTCTACTATGCAAAATATGATTCAAGACCTCATAAAGGCTCAAAACCAATTGTTGCAAATTTAGTGAATAAAAAATGAGTGAATTGAAAATTTGCTTACGGAATGCTAACGGTGTAAACCAGCAATTTCTCACTGAATATAAAATAGATGTTATGCTACTGTCCGAGACACATTTAACAAATAAATATAATTTCTCCATACCTGGATATAAATTATATGGCACAAATCACCCAGATGGTAAAGCTCTAGGAGGCACAGCGGTGCTGATTAGAAATCGCCTAAAGCACAATATTCTAGACTCCAAATCAACAGCCTGTCTGCAAGCAACTACCATATGCTTACGAAACCGCGGCCGAGACTTGAATCTATCGGCTATTTATTGCCCACCGCGATTTTTAATTTCTGAAAATGACTTTAAAGAATTCTTTGGTAGTCTGGGTAATAGATTCCTGGCAGGAGGCGACTTCGACGCAAAGCATACGTACTGGGGATCATGCCTTATTAACCCAAAAGGGCGGCAGTTATACAATACCATTATAAATAAACAGGCACAATAGGCTAGAGGTCACATCTCCTGGTAAACCTACTTACTGGCCCACCGATATAAAGAAGATACCAGACCTAATAGATTTCGCAATTACAAGAAACATATACAGAAATAACATACCTGAACTATCATCCGATCACTTCCCTATATTAATAAAACTATATGAACAGACCCAAAACATCGAGATTGAGCCTCGTCTAACTTCAAATAACACCAACTGGCTTAAATATAAAAAGTACATCAGTAGTCACCGTAAATTAAACGCTGCACTTAACTGCGAGGGTGATATAGACTCCCCTGTTGAACATATTAAAGAAACCTTTACTTCAGCCGCTGGCCTGGCAACACCAAATCAAGTCCAAGTACCACCTACACATACATCAGTTACAAATACCGAAATAGAAAAACTTGTGGCAGAAAAGCGGCGCCTAAGAAGACAGTGGCAGAGCCATCGCTTACCAACCTCACAGCTACTGGATAAAGCTGCCAGTAGAAAACTGAAACAAGCACTCAAACGTGCAGAGGATCGCAACTTGCAAAGGTACATTAAGAATCTTTCCCCGAATTCTACTGAAAGATACTCTCTATGGAAATCGCTAAAATACTTCAAACCACCAGTGGCTACGGAAATGCCAATTAGGAACCAAAGTGGTACCTGGGCTCGTAGTGAGCAGGAGAGAGCCAAGTGTTTTTCACACCATTTAAAGAATGTGTTTCAGCCAAACTGTCCAACGAACAACTTCAGGCTGCCACGGCTAACCAAAAATACAAATGAGCTATACATACCTAGCAAGACGAACTCTTTAGAAGTAAAAGCTATAGTAAAGCAGCTTATTCCAAAAAATTCGCTGGGTCCTGATTTTATAACTCCGAAAATGCTAATAGAGCTACCGAATGTTGCACTAGCAATTCTTTCTGACCTTTTCAACGCCATCCTCAAATTCGGTTACTTTCCAAAATCATGGAAAAGGTCGAATATAATCATGATAGCCAAACCTGGAAAAGACGCAACACAGCCGTGCTCATACAGACCAATAAGCTTACTGCCCTGTCTTTCCAAAGTATTCGAAAAAGTACTCCTATCAAAGATATCTACCTTTCTCCATGAACGTAATTTAATACCAGCACACCAATTTGGCTTCCGAGAAAAACATGGTACAATAGAACAAGTTAATCGAATTACAAATGAAATCAGAAGGCCATTTGAGCTCAGAGAGTACTGCTCTGCAATTTTTCTCGATGTGGTACAAGCATTCGACAAAGTGTGGCACGACGGTCCTATATATAAAATTAAAAAATTATTGCCACCGGAATTCCACAAAATATTTGAATCATACATAACTAACAGAAAATTTGCTGCAAAAGTATCTAATTTCACTTCAAAAGACATGTCGATAACGGCTGGCGTTCCTCAAGGTAGTGTACTCGGACCTATGCTGTATATCATCTACACTTCAGATATTCCAACTAGCAAGGATGTACTCACATCCACCTTCGCTGATGATACCGCCTTATTAAGTCGTAATAAATGCCCCAACAGAGCGTCCATAGTACTAGAGGAACATTTACTACGCATAGAAGAATGGCTGGCAAACTGGCGCATAATAGTCAACGAACAGAAGTGTAAACATACAACATTTTCACTCAGACCGCAAGTATGCCCCCAATCAAATTAAATAATGTCCATATTCCACAAGCCAATGAGGTGACATGTCTAGGAATACACTTGGATAGGAGAATAACTTGGCGCAAACACATATCAACCAAGATTACACAAATGAAGCTTAAGTCAGCTAGCGTGAACTGGCTTATAAACAGTAAATCAAAACTGAAACTAGATTATAAAGTACTTGTATATATTTATACAGTCATTAACCCTATATGGATGTATGGTATTCAACTGTGGGGTACGACCTGTGCAACCAACATTGACAGGATCCAAAGATTCCAATCTAAAACGCTAAGGGCCTTAACGGGAGCACCGTGGTATGTTCGCAATTAAAATATACATAGGGACCTTGGTATACCGATGGTTAAATCTGTAATCATCAGCAGCAGAGAAAATATAAAATAAAACTGCGTAACCACCCGAATCCACTGGCAAGTGGCCTGTGCAACACAACAAATATAACACGCCTGCGAAGAAGAGATCTACCAGCCTTTCGTTGAGCGACGTTAAACCAACAGGGCTCAACACCAGGGTTTGAGCTATATTATTATAAATTAGACCTAAGATTTTTAAACTTGTCGTTAGGCTTAATAGATGTAAAATAAGCAGATCCAACAAATAAATGGAAGTATAATTAAAAAAAAAATATTCGTTGGCATCACCTTCGTTTGAGTAATTTTCTGGAACAAGTCTAGAATAGCGACCGTTTAGCTATAAAATAACCAAAAGTGCCGATTGATAGAACTTTTTACGCTGATTTCAACGATACCAAATTATTTAACGTAGGTAAAAAACAAAGAAGATATAAGAGATTTGTTTGCTTTGTTTATTTATGTTTTTAATTATCACTTAGGGCCCTTTTCTCAAGCAACCTGTAACTTTAAAGCTCACTTTATATTTAAAGGTTACATTAAAATTTATGATGGTGTCTAAAATAAAGCAGTTTATTATCGGTTTTAAATTGGCTTACAACCAAGAATCGTATATACGTCAAAAACCGATATTAGAAATGCTTAACTTTAGACATAACTTTATTTTTAATCCTACCTTTAAATATAGAGTGAGCTTTAAAGTTAAAGTTTACTTCAGAAAACGGCCCTTATTACTTAAAACAAGTAAAAAAAGTAGATCATGATAAAATATGGATATCGAATTAAAGATAATAGCTTTTACTCTCTATATAATATAAATTTCTTTACCATTAATCATGCAGTTTTTTTTCAAAAGAGGTTATTTCACGAAAATATAACATTTGTTCGTTTTTTAGTAGTAAAAAAAACAATTTCAATTGTGTATATCAGCTAAAAGATAAATCGATTATCTTTATGGTGACGTTATTAGTTTTTTAATCGGTTATGTGGTTCATAAGATATTAATATTAAAAAATCAAAAAAAAAACATTGAACTTTAACCTTCTAAAACGTCTTTATATTTTACTTGCGCTGCGCTAAATAATTTTGGCATGGTTAAAATAAGCGTAAAAAGTTCTATTGATCTCCATTTCTCGTTTTTGCATAGCTGAACGGTCGGTATTCTAGATTTGTTCCAGGAAATGACAAAAACTTAAATTAAAAATCTATTTTTACATTTTGTTTAGTATTTCCATTAAAACACCAAATATATTGCAAATTCACATGGAATTAATAACACACATTTTACTTCTAATTGCATACTTTGCGCACTTTTTTAGTACCTTTCTACTACCGTTTTCGCAAAAGGCGATCACATTCTTCCCCTTTCTCCTACTTCCAAAATACTACTCTAGATAAAGGAGTGTCAAATTTGAGCTGTCACAAATTACATCACATTGTGTTATTGAATCATGTTGGAGGCCCAAACAGCGTTCATATATGTAGCTGTAAGTGGCATTGATGCCTTTGCGGACGTTCACTGCTGTCGTTCTCGCTCATAAGTGAATGTAAATGCTGCTCCAAACGTTTACGGAAAGTAGGTGTGGCTAGAGATACTATTTTATGCGAAGCAGTGATCGGACTTCTACCACATTGTGGTAGATCTGCCACTTTTTTGAGCATGTACTACATTTACCACACAAGGTCTGACATCTACCACATATTCACGTTTTTGAGTAGTTTTATTTTTTATGGACATAATTTTTTTTATTTTTTTAAGAGCAATAATTGTCCAACACTAAATACTAACAACAAAGCCGAATGATAGGATAAAATAAGCTGTAAAATAGTAAATTTTCTCAATAATCAATTTTTCGACAGGAAACATGGTTTTATTGTGTTAAATTGCAAAATATATGATTTTTAAAAAGAATTAATAGCGAAAATGTTTAAAAACGGCAATTTTTGTGAAAGTATTAGCAAACTTCTGTGCATCTAAAGTTTCTAAGGCGTTGTTTACTTTTTCCTGGGGGTTTTGTAAAATCGGCAAATCCCAAGTAAAGTAAATGCACACAATTGCGGGGTAGTACGTTATTCCGTGGAATTCCGATTTTTCTAGTTAAATAAGGAATTGGTAGAATGTTTGATCAAATAAAAAATACCAGCATATACTTTAATTTTTAAGAACTAATAAGGTCCATTCTGACTGTACTTATGGATTATATTTATATAATATCAGGCAGTCTATAAGTTGTAGTTCGGAGAATTAACATCATGTAAGGAGACGTCCTAGGCGAAGTGTTAACGACTGTAGTGTATTTCTTAAGGCTGTAAAAATTTAACGATAAGTATTTTTCTCACTATGATTATATTTTAGTATTCATTAAACATCTGTTAATTGTTTGTGTAACTGCCAA